TAGTAAATAACACCAAACCTAATTGGACACGGTGTCCTTTAATCTTGTTTAAAAGGTGTAATTCTGCAAATTAATCAGTAGAGAAATTAGGAGGAATAAAATCAATGAAGGGAAACTTAATTGAGGAGTGAAGGGAATGGAACAAGTAAAGATTAAATCTGATAATTTTGGACATGACACAAGGTTAAACAAATTTAGATTTTAACTTTAATATGTTTTCTGTTTAATCGTGTTTGACACGTTTAAGATACGAATAACATATTTAAAACATATTTAATGAATCATGTTAATTTTATTATCTTGTTTAAACGTATAAACATGTTTAATCATTTTTAAACGTGTATACGTGACTCATTTATCAACTTGTTAAATATTAACAATTAAAGACTATTTTAGCTTAACTTAAATAATTTTAAATAATTTTTTAATAAATTTTATAAAAATAATAATGTAATTATACCATGCCTAAGCCTTAATTTTTGAACTTTTATTTTGTTATATTTGATGTTATTATTATTTTGTTTTGTTATAATTATTTTTATAATTATTGATTTTAAATTTAAATAATAAAATTATATTTAATTATAAATATTTTTAATTAATCGTATTAAACGTATTAATTATGTTATTAATCGTGTCGTATCATATATTGATACATTTAACAATCGTGTTGACTATGTTATGTCATGTTACACGATTATTAAACATAAACGTATACATATTTCAGATTTAAAATATGAATATTATTCATATTATGTTTATATTTTATCTTAATATGTTTCATAATTAATTATATTTGATACATTTAAAACATAAAAATATGAATTACCAAATCTAGTAGAGACACAACATAGAATAGAATAGGGAATAATGAATTGACCAGGGTGTGTTGGATCAATAAAAGATTCCGGAGTAGACGATGTCGTTTTCAAGGTGTATTTATTTTGTTACGTATCCGATGTTTCCGACCAGAATCTGTATCATTTAAACAAAATAATTTGAAAATTTTTGAAACGCAAGATACTCTCTCTACCCAAGCTATTCCTATTCCTTCGCGACTGCACGGCACGTCCCATTTTACTATTCCCATTTTTCGCTTTTTGATAGCTTCACAAGCCTGTTACCTTTCCTAATATATTATATTCTTTTTGCATAATTAATTATTTATATATCATATTTTTTGTGTATAATATTTATATAACATCATTTAATCATAAAAAAAATTCTCATAAATATTTATGTTGAATATTTATAATTGGAGGTTTTTGATTTTTAACTTTATTGATTAACGAGAAAATAATAGTTAATTTATTAATAATGTATAAAATTTATATACTGATTTTACATTAAATGTAAACTTTATAATCAAATAAGCACTTACGTGCACAAAAAGGAAAATTATCATTTATAAAATTAATATTTATCTAAGAAGGAAAGGTGTAAAGATTGGGTTTACATCAATAACGTTTTCTCTTCTAAAAAAATGAAAAATATTCAGAAATAGATTTAGAGCTAAGATTTTGAATATTATAGGACCAGATACAGCTTAAAATTTTATACTATATTAGTATAAGAAATTAAGTAGTACTATATTTAATTAGTATGATTTGCTTGAAATAATAGTAAATTTCACAAATATTATCTTGAATTTCTAAACCTGCAGTCAAATTTTACAAGAAAAAGAGAAAACATGGGTGGAAATAGTAAAAAAGCGACCAGATTGTGTGGAGTGTAGTAGAGTATGTGTGGTGCCCAAATCCAATTGGCTATTGAGGAAACTTTCGAGACATGAGCTGTTGCCCAAAACTTTGCCAAAATAAAAAATCAAGCAAACGCGTATCAGAAACCGCGATTACTGCTCCAGCTATCTCGTATCCTGCATCCTTTTCGCTTCCTGAACCCGGCAGACTCGCCGCTGCCTTTTCTCCTTCCCATTTCCCCACCTCCACTTTTCTACATCATCCCCATTAGCACTCAACCCCACAAAACCCCAAAACCAAAACCCAAAAAGAAGTTCACATCTTCCCAGAACCAAAAATAACGACCCCAAGAGCTGATAATCAAATGGGAGTTGACTACTATAACATTCTTAGAGTCAGCCGTAACGCGACGGAGGAGGACCTCAAAAAATCCTACAAACGCCTCGCCATGAGGTGGCACCCGGACAAGAACCCTGTCAACAAGAAAGAAGCGGAGGCTAAATTCAAGCAGATTTCTGAAGCCTACGACGTCCTCAGCGACCAGCAAAAGCGTCAGATCTATGATCTTTACGGTGAAGAAGGGATCAAGTCTGCTGAATTATCCAGTCCCAGTGGCTTTGCTGGCGGTGGTGTCGGTGGTGGGGCCTACAGGTTTAATCCGAGGAATGCGGATGACATTTTCGCTGAGTTTTTTGGAGGGCCCGAGAAGAGGTTTTATGGAGATGGTGGGGTTGGGAGTGAAGGGAACAAGAAGGCGGCGCCGGTCGAAAGCAAGTTGGTTTGCAGTTTGGAGGAGCTTTATAAAGGTGGTAGGAGAAAAATGCGGATTTCCCGGACCGTTCCTGATGAATTTGGGTCGGTACATGCGATTTTTTTTTCTTCTAATTTTCATTAATGTGGATTTTTTTTTATAAAAAAATTGGGATTTAAAGAAAAATTTTGCATGCTGGAAGATGGTTTCTTTTTTTCTTTATTTATTCAGCCTGTTTTTGTTTGCTGCTTACAAGCTGACTTTTGGGGAAGGAGCAATCTTGGAATGGATATTAATTCTTCATGTTTTTTTTTTTTTACAATCGAGGGAAACTGATTCTTTTTAATGTTTTTCATTGTGAAAGAATTAAACTTTTTAAAAATTTAAGACTTGCAGATAATTTATGCATGTTGAAGATGTTGTGAAGATTGGGTTTGGTTTTTGTCAGTTATGTTGTGAAGATTTAAGGGAAAGTGATGACGGTGTCCCTAATTAGTGGTTTTTACTATGGGTTACTCAAATTTGGAAATATATGGGCCCTTATGAAATTTCTTTTGGATCAGTAGATGTTTTGTGGATGTGCTGTGATTTGATGGTAGTTGGGTTATCCTAATTCTGCTTCCAAAGCTGCATATTGGTTCAGTTCATATTATTCTATTTCCTGTTTTATAAAATTGCATTTAGGTATGTAGGGAACACAAGTTGGTGAAATCGGAATTTGATTGCTAAATTTGATCAGTTGACCACTATGGACTTGCAGCTTGTGGAGTTATCCAGTAAATGAAATTGCAGTCACTATCTCATATTTTGTATTTTGGCATGCTATTACCCTGGAAAAGATTTTGGGTCTTAGAATATTAGCCCTCTTTGCTATTTACCAGTTTCAGTCATAGAATATTAAGCCAGTTTGTTATTTACCTGTCTAGCTTCGTTTGTTCTCATCCTATTATATTTTAGAAAATTATTCCTTCACTAATAAAGCAATTAAATCACTTGAACCCTTGCAATCTTATTTATGTAAATCATGAAGACAAACATGTCATTGTGACAGTTGTGTCAGAAGTTGGAAAAGTCTACTTGTTACTTTGTTGTCTTCCAAATGTTTTATAGGCCGATGGAGGTTCTTTTGTTGTCATCTGTGCATCCAGTTGAATGAGAAATGTGACACTTCTGTTGTACCCATATGTTTGTATCGGCTGAGTGGTTGCCCTAGAAAATAAATTATAATTGACCTGACAACATGGTTTATATCAAGACTAGCTGCTATTACGAGATTTTAATTGGAATATTGAATGTGTTTATCCTTGATATATGTTTATATAGTTAAATTTTCAGGATTTAAAAGCGACCTAGATGGTATGGACCTTCATTTTGTCCACAGTTGAATTCAATCAGTTTGGCTCTGAGGTGTGACTGACTCCAGTTTATTCAAAACAAGTTATAACCTTACCTAGATAAAAGTGTAGTGTAGTCCAATAAATCTGCAAACATATAGGATTTTTAAGTCCCTTTTGTTTTTTTCCCATCACTTCATGCATTGTTTTAATCACTTAAATTGTTGGGTGGGAGCAGCAACTTGTAGTGATTTGGTTATTCCTGAATGCTACTGCTTTGTTGTTTTTCTGGATTTTTTTGTTCTCTCTTTGATATACAAGTAACATTGTTTGCAGTAAGCCAAAGACCGTGGATGAAATTTTAAAAATAGATATCAAGCCTGGCTGGAAGAAGGGCACAAAAATTACTTTTCCTGAGAAAGGAAACCATGAACCCGGCGTCACTCCAGCTGATCTTATCTTTGTGGTAGATGAGAAACCCCATGCTATATTTAAGAGGGATGGGAATGATCTGGTTGTCAATCAGAAAATCTCTCTTCTTGAGGCCCTTACTGGGATTACCCTGAGTTTGGCAACCTTGGATGGAAGAAATCTCACAATCCCAGTAATAGACATTGTGAAACCAGGTCATGAAGTGGTGATCCCAAATGAAGGAATGCCAATCTCAAAAGAACCTAGCAAGAAGGGACACCTTAAAATCAAATTTGAGATCATCTTTCCGTCAAGGCTCACTGCAGAACAGAAGTCTGATCTGAGGAGGGCATTGGGTGGAGCTGATAAATAGTCAATAGTCCATGCCTGAGGTCACAACCATCTATTAACACTGATTGATATTGATTGTCAACTCATTGTAAATAGGTTTAATTATCAACTACTAAAGAGGAAAGATTGTGCATAGTAGGAATCAGGTTTGAAGGGTTGCAGGCGATGTTCTGCCACTATATTCTAATTGAAAATTGTATACTTGTATTCAGTGGTGGTGTTGTACTGGAAGTTGCAGGAAATACCTTTCGTGCAATATATTTCGGAAATTATGAATTTTAATGCATTAACTGTTTTTAAATTTAACCATAGGAGTTTGCATGTATCTTAGAATTATATATTCTTTTTGATGGATTATTTTGAATTATCATATTGTAGACATGTTCATGCTCAGGACTTCAATTCGAACAATGGAACTTGCAAATTGTTAAATTGTGCAGTAGCATGCTAGGATTAGGAAGAAAGGTTATGACTTTATATAAGCACTCTTGACACAAAAAAAAAAAAAAAAAACGAAAGGGGAAAAAATTGTGAATCATTGTCCACTGGTAGTATTAGCGTTGCAGCAACCTTATTCAGCCGTGGCTTAATGGCGAGTATCACCATCGGTTACGTGTTGCTATTTTTTATTTCTCTCTTAATCCTCTTAAAGGTAACGGAAAATAACTGCAGGGCCTTGCTAATAGTGCATTCACCATGCTGAATTCTTACATCATATCATGTGTTTCTCAATCATCCTCTGCAATTCATCCTTTCTGGCCCCAACCACCCTGCCTACTTCTTTCCCTTTCTTAACAAGAACGAAGGTTGGCATTGAATCAACCTGTAATTCCCTAGCCACATCCTGTTTCATTCATAGATTGTGTTCTTCATTAGTAAAGGATACTGCAAAAAATGGAAGTTAAAAAGTAATATGCGGTAGCAGGAGAATTAGAGTGTTACCGCCAGCATATCCACATCAATATTGATGAACTGAACATCTGTATATATGATGGCAAACTCTTCAATCGCTGGTTCCATCCGTTTGCAAGGTCCACACCACGTGGCCGTGCAATCGATAACCAACTTTCAGCACCAAACAAGGAAAAATGAATCAGCAACATTTACTGCAACTAGTAACCAGGTTCAAAGCAAGTAGTGAAGTTTACCAGCTTGTTACTTTGCTTGGAGGCCTCGAGCTGGGCTCTCCACTGGCTCTTGGACTGCATTTCAGCGATCCGAGGAGTGGAGGCGTTCGCCCCCATTCTTTTTCCTTAACTATAAACCTAAGTAGAAATTGGAGAACAATATTCTTGTCAAAGTGCTGAGTCTTGGAAAATTAGGATGTATGGGAGGGTCTTTATATAGGTGGTGGCCTGGTGGTATTTAATTTTGGTTTTGAATGAGTTCTACATGGTAAGGAATCGGATATATTCTAAATTCCATGACGAGACCAGCTACTTGGTAGAAAATTATTCATCTATTTTAAGAAAGGAAAATGGAAAATGCACTAGTACAACTTTAAAAGATCGTTTGATAGCTAATCTGGAGCTATTTGATGCCTGACAACCTGGTTTTGAATCAGCCTCTCACAGCCGTCCATTCATGGTATAATATACAACAAGGGGAAGAAATTCCTGGTTAGGCGAATGTTCATGTCCATGAAAATAATTAATAATTAAAAACAGAAAAAGAATGGGAATCATATCCGTTTAGCATCCATCTCAACAATTAAGTAATCACCTACTAAACATGTGTGACGAAATTCCTTGCGGCTAATAAAATAGCATCTTAGTTCTATTTCTTTTTCTCTTCCCCCTTTGCTTGCGATGGCCCCAAGCCTGGAATTTGAAGTTCCATCGAGGTTACAATCAGCATTCAGATGCCTGCCCTTTTGCTTTTCAGAAGCAAAGTTATATTCCTGGATTGATCAATGGCTGCTAGCCTTTTCTTTTTCCCATTTTAATAATGTGTTTAGAAATGGAGACATGCTGAGCGAGTTGACGATTGTGATTTTGTGCAAATGTAGAATCTTTTTGGTTGGTAAGGAAGAATTTACTGGTTTCATGAATGAGTCATGACTCACGACATGGACGATCCACTTTAAGTCCTTAACACCGTTCTTTCATAAATACTTTGTTTATATAATCATTTTCTTTACTCAACAAAAAATAAATAGAAAAGATTGCTTTACCCAAAACAACCTTTATCTTTTCGTAACCACTCTCTAAAAGAAGAAAAAAGTTATTAATGCAAAGAGTAACATAACTTGTGAATGGTGTTGATGTTTAAATTTAATAAATTATTATCTCATATATATATATATATATATTCATGTGTGTGTGATAATTAAATAGTGAATATTTATTGCATTGTAATGATATATATTTTAGTAAATTTATTAATGATTCTTATAATTATTATTTTTATTATAAAAATGTGAGGATGTGGTATAATAATTGGAATGAAAGGGGCATATGGTATGGCGCTCAAGAGTTGTAGTGAGCAGCACCAAATGAATATGTAGTTTTGACTTTGCGCCGCCAGAACAAGAAGCTTCTTCAAGTTGTGCAATGAGCATCTCATTCGCTTCCTAAACCATCAAAGAGAAAATGACAGCGCTCAATACCCGATGAGCGGTAACTACCAATTTCCAGAATTACTTCAAACCCTAAATCTTAAATCCTATACATTAAATAGTAATTGTTTTATTAGTTGAATTACTTAAAAATAAAAAAAAAAAACTTGTTTGTGGTTTGGCATTTTCAGTTATTTCTTTTGAAACCAAGAAAAAATAAACATGTTTGGTAATAAGTTTTTGTGTTCAAATTTTTTTTTAAAAAATGAAAACTAAATTATCTAAATTGTTGAACACAAGAATTTGTTACTTTCATTATTTTCCTGAACAATGTTTACATTTTTGACATTGTGCAAATGTAGGTGGATAATATTCATATAGAAAATAATAAAGGAATAATATTATACATTAATACTATTTTGTATTTAAAATATTTAAAATTATAGTAAATTATTTTATGTTATGTGAAATAATCGAATATTATATTATCAAATTATTTATATCAAATAAAAAAATTTAAAACAAAATTAATTAATATTGTTATTATTTATAAAAAATTGATATTAAATCATAATTAATATTTTATATAATTGTAATATTAACTATAAATATATGCTATTTAATATATTGTGTTATTATAATACTAATATTTAAATAATATTAATTATAATATAATTAACTAAGAATATTTGATATGGTTATTATATAATGTTAAATAATATTATTTTAATAGTACTATTTGAATCATGTAAAGTTTATTTATTAAATACTTTATTATTTTGATTTAATTCGTAGAGTATTTTTTATTGAATTAGTATGTTTTGAACAATTTTAAGTTGTTTTTAACAAAAACTGTTTTAAGTTTTTAAAAGTTTTAAAATAAAATGAAGTAAAAAGAAGAAAATTTTTTAAAACATAAAACAAAAGAACAAGAATCAACCTTAGAAAATGAGAAAAAGGATATAGGAGTGGAAGGTTATCGATTTTATCTCATAATTTACAATTTTGCTTGGATAGGTCAGCCTTTGCTTTCCCTCAAATTTGACAAAGTTCTAAGATATGAGTTCGGTTCACTATTCCTGTAATTGTTAATGATTCGTAACTTGTAATCACAACATGTTAGGTTAGGGGAATCAAATAGCTATTCCATACTTAACTTTTCTTACTTTATTCATTTGTTTGGTTTACGTGGAATGATCATTCTGGAAGAAGTTGAAATAGTTATTATCGATCCTCTTTTAGACGAAAATTTTAGACAAAAATCTTCTTATCCATTTTGCCAAATTATTACCCTTATATATAATAACACCTTAACTTATAAACTTTCATTTTCCTCTTTTTTTTCCCTCTCTCTACCTCATTAGCCTTTCTCATCTTGCTAAACTTCCTTCATTATCACTATCCTCTTACGACAATGGTCGATCGATGACTCCATGATCAAATCTGGCCATAGGAAGCATCAATTTAATGCTCCATGACCTAGTCTGACCGTGGAAAGTATCAGATCTGGCATTCCATAGCTAAATTTGATTGCAAGAAGGTGCTCCATTATGTCGACTACATCTCTAGTGACAAGTTGGTATGGAAAAAAGAACATAAGAAAAAGAGAAGAAAAGTGGAAAAAAGGAAATAACATAAAATAAAAAAAAAATTATTTTAATTATATATTACAAAAAATTAATATTTTAAATTAAAATTAAATTAAAGTTAATTATACATTAATAATATTTTAAAAAAATTATAAATTATTAATATTTTAAAATTTTAAAAAATAAAAAATAGAGAAGAAAATAAAATCAAATAATTAAAGTTTAATTCAAATTTATTCATATTTTAATAAATTATAAAAAAAATTAAATATTGTAAATTAAAAATAAAAAAGTATAATAAAAGACATTTTTATCATTTCACCACTTGTTCTTTAGTTACTCCAAAACTCTTTCTATCAACTAAACATTGAAATAGTGTCAAAATAATAATTCATTTCATGAACCAAACTAGATGATAATTATTCTTACTTTATTCTATTATTACGAAATAACTATTCTATACCTTATTTGTTGCAACCTATTCTCGGACCATGACCAACGCAAAGGTAAGCAAGCTTTACACATTTCATCATTATAATTGTATTATTCAATGCATAGATAAGGGTGTCTGTGTTCATCAATTCAATCAAGTCATACAATAGAAGACATGTATATATATATATATTCATTCATCAATATCCACATTTATCACATTATTAATAGTTTGACACACTTCCTATGCTTATTAACATCTATAGTCACTTGTACCCCTTTTGATGCTCAACATGATTATCACACAACTTAATTACATAAACATAAGTATTACCAATCATGGCTACATAAGTATTACCAATCATGATAAAGTAAAAACAAAACATATAAGACTTGACTCAACAGTGGCGCATGACTCAACATTGGAAGCTACAATAAGGGTTCTAACACACCTACCAAATCAAGTTGAGAGATTTATCTAAGAGTCGGTGAGCCAAACAATTTACTAATCTGAAACAAGACAAGTACATCTTTCCTGTGTGAGTTATAAAAATTAGTGAGTAGATATGGGAAGGAGACAAGCCAAAGGGGACTAATTTTTACTTAAACCACATTCTTGATATAAACATGAATTTAGAAATAATCATCAGTTTTCATCCAAATCCTTGAAATAATGTTGTTTTGAACTCATTCAAATGATTCTAGTTGAAATCAAAGTCATTTAGGAGTTTAGATTGAAAAAGGGGGTACAAAACAAGTGAAAAGCCACTTAAAATGAGTAAATAAGATGTTTTTCACCATAGGTATTGATAGCTCCTTGAGGGGTATCGATACTTTTCATCCAAAAGGCTCTTTGGACATTAGGTATAACCTCTTGGGGAAGTATCAATACTTTTCTTGCAGAATGCTTCTTGGGGCATTTTACTTGTGAGGTATTGATACTTCATTTATGAAACTAAAAAATTTGGATAATTTCCAGCATATACAAGCCATATTAGCTGTACAATTCTCCACACAAATTGTACTACACAAGATTTCATTCAAATACACATATGTAAAATCACTAGCACATGGAATCTCATTCAATTTCAATCCACTCACAAACAACATCATTATGACTACAAGTATATGATTTTTATATCACCATAATGTATACAACTACATTTGGTAAGCATATGTATTTTCCCATGACACAATATAGTGGGATTTTGTCACCTTTCAAGGCATAATTTGATGGACATGGGCCTTCCATCTACACCCATTTGCCATCTCTTTGTACACTCTCGAGCATAGCACATAATAAAACTCAATCACTAGTAATTCTTGCAATCTTATCATGCTCATACATCCATATACATGTTTATTTTTATATTCAACCAAACTCATGGTCATCATTTTCCATAGTCATATACATATATAATTTCCATCACATTATCACAGTGGTGCATACATAACCGTCCTCACTTACATTCAACTATGTATACATCAATTCCATATCAACATAACGTCATAGACCATTTTGAAAGGAAATTATTTGAAAGTGCTTGTCTTCATGCATTAAAATTACTACCTAGTATATATATTTACATAGTGTAGATACTTTTGAAAAACTCATTTAAAACATTGAATTCATCTTTAAACCTTTCACATTTATGAAAAATGACATAGAAATCATGTAAGGCAAAGTATTAAATAAAAATTCTTATATATATACATTTTTAAAACATCGTATCTACCTATCTAGA